AGTATTTCACATATTCAACCCATAAATATTTCTCATTGTTATTTTAAGTAAGTAGTTTTTTGTTTTTTACATATTCGAAAGTGCGACGTGATTCCCCAACAATTTCTTTGTAATCGTCTCATGTGACGTCACCTCAATTCAATATATATTACTAATGCAAAGTAGGGTTCAAAACCTGTTGACCAGTAAAGCCAGCCCGCATCTTCGTTGTGTCCATTTGGAAATGCATTCCCATTCCTCGATATGATAAAGGCAATAATTTGCTTAATGTTCCGTTAAACCACGAACAAGAGTTCCCCGCTTTACATTTAAAAAAAAAATTTCATTAACTTAAAAAAAAACTTTTCTTGTTTTTACTGCTGAGTGCCGAAAATATGGCTGTACTTTTTGAATGATAGGTGTTATATATATATATATATATATATATATATATATATATATATATATATATATATATATATATATATATATATATATATATATATATATATATAATCTTGTTTACTAGAAATGTTATTTATTCCTGCAATAACATCTGAAGCAAATATTGGTCTTACTTTTGTATTCAGTATTTCATTTAAGCTAGAATTGATTTATTCAGATTATGTATTCTCTGGAAACATACAGTGCTCATAAATAATATTCTTGGATAGAAATATTAAATGGGAATTATAGTGAGTTAAAAAAAAAAACACATCTTGTGTTACATTTTTGTGATTAATTGAAGAACTGTTGTCAAATCTCCACGTCACAGGACAATACACTTGAGTAACACGAACACCTTCAGCAATCGATCTTATCTCGAACGCAGCTGGAATTTAAATAAACAGATGCTCACCAAAACCAGTAAAACAAAGTTGTGGAATATTTTGATTTTAATTCGCATTTATGTAAGATCTTTTTAAATCTTTGTATTCTAGCTTACTACCATAGAGTAATAAAAATTGGGAGCTCGTATTTGAGATAAAAATTATTTCTCTATACATTTCAGAAAATTTTGTTTTTGAAATTTAAATTAACTTTGTTACGGACTTTTTTAATTCCCATTTATTATTTAAATATTTGAGAAATCAACCGTGTAGCTAACAAGCTTTTGCAATATTATCTAAAGGATAACTACTTTTTGTTCGATTATGAAGGTTAAAGTCCTTGAAAAAGGTTTAATCGCTCCTGCTTATCATACAATATGTTCTTTCTTAGGCGAATGTTTGTTTAACGAAGCAAGAAGGAAATTAGTGCAATATTTGGGGGGTTAGGAGTATTTTTAATATAAAAATGCGTTGGGTTAGTTTACTAACTACTGGGTTATAACATAACACCAATGGAATTTAAATTAAAGCACAAGTCGGCAATATACAATTAAGAAAGTTTCAGCTTCAGGAAGAGAAAGATGAGAGACAAATACAACTAGGGAAAGAAAAATGAGAGAGACGCGAATAAAATTTGAGACAGAGAAAGAAATAAATATGTAGATGGAGAAAGAGGAAAGAGAAACAGAAGATATATTAATGAAATGTAAAGAAAAGAGACGAGAGGGAAATACTGAAAGAAAGAGAAAAAGAAGAAAAGAGATTTCAATTTAGATTGAAAGAATTAACGCTAGCAAGTGGACCACACACACACACACACTTTTCAATACAAGTTCCAGTTTTGATGTTACCAAAATATTAGGCTAGTAACCCACCTACCTCTTTAAAGAAAAGAAATAGATAAATATTTTCCTAATTTTGAAAAACAAATGCTGAATTTTTTTAAATGGCCAATAAAGCATTTGATTCTATTATTATAAAGTATAAAGTGTTTTTTATTGGCAAAGCTCGTGAAGTTTCTACTTAACTCTCAGCACAACAAAGTGCTGATTATCATATGGTTGAGAAACCTATTTTTACGTGTCCGAGTTGGTACCTTGGACTTATCTACAAAGGTTTGAAAACTTAAAAAAAAAGAGAAGCTGGACAGACACTTGTCAAATCTGTAAGAGAAATTATTGGGTAGGTGGAGCTCAGCCAAGAATGTTGGTCAAGACTACGATAACCTAAGACAACTCATATTAATTAAAGAAATCAAGAATTGCGTACATATTGATGTCAAGGTCTATCATAATAAGCACAAGGTCGAAACATTAGACAAAGCTGATGTTATAGCTGACGAGTATTACTTAACTCACATTCTTTTTGTCAATGTCTTCCGCCCAGCAGGTTCTTGGGAAAAAGCTATTACAGTTTCAAACAAGCACCTCCCACTCTTAATATAAGCGCAACTTGTAAGAATCATGTTTATGATAAAACTGACCAGAAATCATTATCTCTTCATACGTGTGCCTTTTATAAGAAGAAAGGACACGTTATTTCTCATTGGTGCAAGTTGAAGAAAAGCAACAGAATCGGGACAGAGCTATTCAAAAATGCTTTTATTTCTAAGTAGTCAACAAACACCAGTCCGATTATATTATGGGAGTTATGAATCACTTGCATCAATGGGTTCTGTAAGTAATTTTGGAAAAGGCTGATTCTAGAGCAAACACCACTTTTTACCCCCTCCACGCTCTCATAATAAATACAAATTACCCATCTCTCTCTCTACCCCAATCCCCAAATGATTTATGCACACAACCCAAAGGCAGATATCATCCTATACTTTTACACTAATATATTACGTTTCCTTGAAACAGATGTTGCACGATATAATGCAATATGGAAATCAATCAATATTTCTACTAGCCAGCCAAGCCTTTGATGTATCTAATAGATGTTGCATAAGGCATTTTAATATGGAAATAAACCAATATCTCTATAATTAATATATACATCGACCAATAGCCTCATATATGATTAGTCATTTTCTAGAACATTTTAGAAAGCGCCCACTTAAAACATAAAACGTGAAAAGTGTCAGCAGTAAGATTTCAGAACATTCAAGAAAACGCCCAGTCAAATTTTTCAAGAGGACTCTTCACTGGGTGAAATCAAGTAAGTGATATTATTTTATACCTCATCACCAACGATTAATGTTTCAACTGTTGATATTAGAAATATTTCTAGAAATATTTCATTATCATGATGATAGAGACTAAACTTTACTTTATCACTCACACAACGACGACATTCAAACAAATCTTTTATTTGAGGTTTGCTTAGAGGATAATTTTTGTCGATAAAATATACTTTTGAACGAATAATATCGATTGTAAGTTTAGTATTTTTTTGTTGACTGATCCGAACATGAAAAATTTTAAATTCCGCTAACAACTTTTGGTACAATTGTTCGAGGTAACTGAAATACTCGCTGCCATAAGATCTAATGAGCGAAAATTTTAGCTTGTTACAAGTGCCACTAAAACATATACCTGATGTTTCATTATTAATTTCAACTGTCAATTGTTTGCCATCTATCATCATATATTTGCTATTGTTATTGTAGCTATTTGTCACTGTCAAATTTTCATACATTATTTCTTAAGTTTAGATAAAATTATTGAATATTATATCGAGTATAGATCTATCATTGTGACAGTACCCAAATGAAAATGTATCTACTCCATTTTTACAATAACATTTGTCATCAAAATTGCTTAATCCATGTTTGATAATGACATCTGTTTCGAGTATTTGATTTTTCGTTCGAATAGCCATTGCTCTATAAACTAACACAGACATCAAGCGCGTACTTGTAATCATTAAATTTCATAAACTTTTTAACAAAATCACGAGGCAGATTTTTTGCTTTTTTCTCTATTTTATTAATGTTTAACAAAACTAACCCAATAAAATATTTGATAATGCTCGAGTTCATTTCATCGTTAAACTTACCAATAACCTTTTTATTTGTGTCGTCATGCAATTTACTGTCTCGAGGGTAATCGGAAAGATCAAACAGATATCGATTATTGTACATGTCCTGATAGACGCCATCACATTCGATTTCATATACGAGCGCGTGGGTATCAGTAAACAATAGCCTACTGGCCGGCCATTGATTTTTAACAAAATTATAATGAAAATCATACAACAGCCATTTTGATAAATCTAACATGGAAGCTCCAACGGAATAATCATCGCTAAACGGAACGAATTTTAGTATTGTACTCGCAATAAGTAAGTGCATCGAAATATATTCTATGGTTTGATTAGCCAGTTGGTATTTTGCACTTTTAAACAAGCTCCAACCGTTATTGACGAGAGCAATTTATGCACCAGCTGAAATATCACCGCCTATTGCAGTTAGTATTTGGCCACGCACTTCTAACGCACTGCCTTATGCGGCAGTAGAAACATCTATACGTCTCTTGTGTTAAAAGTTCTAACTTTCGTTTTATTTGGTTCGTTCAAGATTTCATCTAAATACTCGACATACTCTAATTCTGTTACAGCCTCGTCAGTATCATATTCTTCGGCAAGATCGAGATAATTTTTAGCTGCCATTTATTTGATATTCGCTACACAAAAATAAAAGGAAGCAGGGGTCGTCGGCTTTATTTTCTTTACAAGTTTACGTATTATTTCTTTGCCACACGGTGATAATAATATTTTTGTTGTAGCTATCATAGCCCATTTTGTTTCTTATGTTGGCGCAATATCTGATATTGCTCGTTGCTTTCTAATGTGGAAGGCCCTCTAATCTTATCAGCAATCTTTTGTCCTACTGCAGTGCCTGCCAAAGAAGCTGCCCCCGTCGGGAAAACTTTACCTGCGTCGAATGCAATGGGCGGTACTTTACGAGCAATTCCTGGAATATTCTCTGCAATTGTTGTAAATATGTTTCCAAAATATCCACCTTCGATTTTTCGTCGATAAACTTTTCTTCGTTTCATCTATAATATATATGCTCACAAAATTGCGCGCAGGTATAAAAAAAAATACGTGACTATTCCATTGTTCAAATCTATATGTCTACCCGACTGTTATGTGAGTTGCATTGTGATGTTTGTGATTTGATTTTCAAGATTAATCGGAGAATAGATAATATGACGTGGAATGATTTGTATGGTCGATCCGGGTGGAAACTACTCCGGTGGCCTAGTGGTTAGAGAATCAACCTCGGATGCGGGAGGTCGTGGGTTCAATCCCCGGTCGAGTCATACCAAAGACTTACAAAAATGGTACTAACAGCTGCCTCGCTTGACGCTTAGCATTAAGAGGTTAGTGTTAGGACTGGTCGGTCTGGTGTCAGGATAATGTGACTGGGTGGGACATCATGCTACATGTCTGCAGCATGACGTCCCAGTGCTAGACATCACTATAAACTGCCACACGGCAGACATCGTAGTAATATGACTTGTTAAAAGCTAGGTTAAAAATCATAAACACCAACACCGATCTTGGTGGAACTTCTGGCGAGAAACTGTATATCATTTGTCCTCTGCTGCAATTGGTTGAGTAAGATCCAGAAGCAATAGAGCAATTTACAAGTATCGTATTTACTTCTGTAATATTTACTGGCAGTTGACCGTCATACGTAATAGCTTGATCTATAGCACTATAATCTTTATCAGTAAATCCTATCAGTGATGCAATACTTCTTTCTCTTGGTTTAAAACTAAATGACATATTTCTCAGTGTTATTATAACTCGTAACGTGTTATAATTCGCTGCCAACTCGAAATTATCAGCCACACCGCCAGCTTTTGTTATGAGCTCTTTGATTGTCTTGTTTTGATCAGTAATGTGATAAGCTCTTTGTGGAAATTTTAATCTTTTTGTTAAAGATGTTGGAGATGCTGTAACCGTAGTAAATGAAATTTCATCATTGACATCAGTTTTCACGTTAGCCTTAGCATTTCAACAAGTACAAGAAATTAATCCAATCTCATACCTTTTTCATAATCAAGTTCTATTGGCGGATTATAATGCACAGAAAAGTTTGCGCTTTTTCCTGTTGTCTGCGATGAATCAAGCAATAATGTTCTTAATGCTAGTGACATTAATATTTTGGACAAGATCGATGTGTAAAATTTCATACTTGACGATGCTCGATCGACTATTTCTGCGTTTGATGTAAAACTTTGACTCCAGATCCAGCGGTTTCCTCTGGTATTGATTTATCTTGTTTATCGTCATACTGATTAAATAGTCTTTTGAAATTCCATTTTTTATGATATTTTACTTTTCTGGTTCTTTACTGTACTGCTGTTTTACCAAAATTTTCAGCAATAATTCCATCTCTCATTCTATCTGACAGAGAATTAAGTTTTTCTTTTTCAACACTTTTAATTTCTACATTAGCATTTGAACCATCTTTTATAATTCTTTCTAATTTTTCTGTCAAATTATTATATTTTTTTCATGTCAGGTTCGGATATTGTCAATATCAGTGATACCATGTCTTTTAATAAAATCATTATATTCATCATTGTATATTTTTACCCTAGCTTGTTTTCTTTAAAATATTGACTGTTTTTCTGTAGGCATTTCTAATGCAATTCTTACAGTCATTATTTTTTTTCTCAGTAACTCAGCTTTTCGTGCAGTAGAATCAGCAATGTGTCTCGCTTACAATTTTTACATTTTCTTCTTTCGATCTTTCTTCAAATAAACCTAACAAACCTTTTTCTTTCATTTTTGCTAGTTCTTCTGGAGACAATGTTGATATTTCTGGTTGCTTACCAAGTACTGTCTCAGTAACAGGTTTGAAAAGTTTAACAGTTTCTTCTTCTGCTGAACTTGTCCATTCGAACTTCTTCCACTTTTTTCTTAAAAGCCGCTCGAGTTTCGAGAAACCTTTTTAGCAATTAATTTTTTTGCTGATGCTTGTCCATTATTTTCAATACTTTTTACGAAATTAGATTATAGAAATGTGTCAATGCAACAACGAAACATCTTGAATGGATCACGCGTTAGCTTGTCAAATAAAAAGAAATCTTGTCTGTCATTGTTTGTTTGTTGATATAATTCGATAAACTTGTTTTTCGTGAAATCTCCGCATTGTTCGTTTGCGATATTTCTTACATCAACATTGTCCAGTCTGGAAAATAATATAAAACAACTAGTATTTCGTCTGATAAATCTATCAACATTATAAAAACCTAGAGCGAGATAAACAGAATTACATCTTTTATTACGCGATAATGAAAAATAAGATCTAATCTTGTTCTTCTCCTCGTTGTTTAGCAGAATATCATCGTAAACGATTATTATATGCTCGAATGGAATCAAGTTCATTCAGATGAACAAGTTCTTCTGGTTGTCTTATCAAAAATAGATCTTTGCCAGTTCCAAGTTTATCACGAAGTTTATCGTTGTACTCGTTTAGTAATTCGTATTTGTCCAGTTGGGGATTAATTGTATAAATATATACCTTATCATAGTTGAAGTTATCGTTGAGCAAAACTTTTAATAACAGATTTGTTTTACCCGATCCGGTTCGCCCAACAATAAGATAATGACTGTCTGAAAGTTCATTGTTACGTTTATGTTTTAATAATAGTTCGTATCAAAATTTATGATCTTCGCCATCGTTGTTCTATAATTTTGTGTTATATTAAACCAACAATTTTATGTAAGACAATAGGTATAATAAGCTACTATACAAAGTTCGGAACATTATTTATAGATTCGTCAGATAAAGCTCAACAAGGTGACTTATCAAGATATACAACTCTTGATCAGCTTATAAATGAAATCAATAATTTATTAAATATCATAAGAGTGGATCCAAATGAAGTAGTTGTTTTCCAAGATAGAAAAGGAAAATTAAAGACGAGTAATGTACAACTGTCAGATGTATTTGTACTAGTTCCTACTGCGGTTGCTAATAATATCGTTACTTTTAATAACCAAGGTAAGGTACAAGATTCGGGTAGGTCAGTTAACGACTATATTAAAAAAGCTGGTGATTTATTCACGGAAAATATTATTATGAACCAGAACAAGATTACATATCTTGGAAACTCAACTGAAGATAATGATGCTGCACTAAGAAATACGTCGACAATCAAGAATCAAAGTATGTGTCCGTGCGCAGTGCTATAAAGTATGAATTTCTCAACATAAACAATAATGGCATTAGTAATCTTAGAATAACAGAGTTTGATTTCAATGATGCAACGAAGGAATATGTCGATGATAAGAAAATTCCAATAACAACTTCGTTAACCACAATCAACAATGAAATGACCACACTCAAAACTGATTTTACTAATCACTTGACTACGTTTTCAAGTTTTCGCAAAAAGATGAACAGAAGAAATAACGATTTTTTGGAAGTCCACAAAATGTTGATATTACACTCGCTGATATTAAAAATAATAAATGATTTTGTCAGTGGAATTCCCGATATTGTCGAGAAAACGAGTCTAATTAAACTTCATCACAAGCAGATTAAAATAGTGTGTACACAGTTGCATCTTGTTCAGTTAGGTGGACACTACAAAAGAACTCTATCAAACACACTGCAGAGATTACTGGTGTGTATAGATTGTCTGTGCTTAACGGTGTAATGGTTAGTATATTTACAACATTGCTATGGCGTCATTCAACTGATGCTTTCTCTGTAGTTGTATCTATAGTGTTAAATAAAAATGCCGAAGAAGAATATATACTTAAACCAACTGATGAAAAGTAACCACAACGTCCTATTGGTGGTGTCTGGAATTCGTAGCTGAAACACCGCGATTAACTACTTAAACAAACCTTGGGACTATGTAAACAAATATTATAATGAAAGAAAGTATAACTAATTTCTATCATATTTCAAAAGATATTCCATAACAAGATGTGGACGCATTATTACAATACTACGATTATTATCACAAAAAAAAACTTTGGTGCGTAAAAAAATGTTACAAATACTATAACAAAATAATTCGAGTAATATCATAACTACCGTTGTTAATGACCAACTCTGGTATAATTTCAAGTGGAGATTATTAAATCCGTTTTTGCTAATCATATTTAGTGTTGGAGTTCCTCTTACAACATCATGTAAAAAAATGAACCTCGACTTTTAATCAAACAAAATGTTTGCCAAACAGCCAATATAACTTGCCAAAAATTACTTGATCAGATACGATCTTAGTTGTGAGGTGTAAAATATGATATGGACGATTTGATACGCGAATTTCGTATTATTGACAGTATGCTAACATATTTTGCCAATGATATTTAGCAAGTATGAAAAGGGTTATTAAAAAAGTATGATAATAATAGGATATGAAACATCTAAACTTAAGGAATAATTTCACTTACCTGATCTGACCTGGTGAAATGTGAGCTCAACGGTGAAAGTGTCTATATATACTTGCGTGCCATTCTTCTTGAATGTTCTGATATCTTCCTGCTGACACATTTTCACGTTTTTGCTTCTGATACGTGTTTTATCTTGCTGAAACTTTTCACGCTTTATATTTTGAGTGGGCGCTTTCTAAAATGTTCTAGAAAATGACTAATCATATTTGAGGCTCTTGATTTTCAGACTGCGTGCGGCTTGTAATGATATTGATTGATTTTCAGATTATGCAACATCTGTTCCAGGTACACATGTAATATATTAGTGTAAACGTATAGGATGATATCTGCCTTTGGATTTTGTGTATAAATCATCTGTGGGGTGCGTTAGAGAGAGGGGTAATTTGTATTTATTATGAGAGCGTGGAGGGGGTAAAAAGTTGTGTTTGCGCTAGAATCAGCCTTTTCACTATCTATTCTGTATCACTTACTAGCGAGTCTGCCAATCCTATCCTTATTAAAAGTTTAAGGGACACCAGAGCGTCTCAGAGCTGTTTTATTATAGGTACTTTGCCTTTTCTAAGAAGTCTTCTTCTAATGAAAATGTTCTTATTCAGTGCGGCTTTGATAATGTTCTTCTCTATTGTGCAAATTTGTCATTAGACTTATTCTCAAGACATGTGACAGTCGTAAATAGTGATTCGATACTCATCGAGGGTATTCATCTATTACTTGGCAATGACCTAATTGGAGATATGTTGTGGTTATCCACTTATAACTGACAATCCGTTTTTGGAGAAAAAAATCTCTGACTCATACCACGCTCATGTAGTTACTAGAGCTATGGCAAATAAATCTCTTGAGAATTATGTTTATAAAGTACTTTATTGGTTGGGCGTTTAATGAAGTCGCTTTT